CTGTCTGTGCTTAACCCCGCCGTTGCTATTTAGGAAAAAAACTTGCATTCTTTCATTTCAGTATGTTAGCATTTTAATTTTTTTAAAATATTTTTGTCTTTTTGAGACAGGGTCTCACTATGCAAGTTCAGTCTGGCCTTGAACTCAGTTATGTAGCCCAGGCTGGCCTTGAACTCGCAAGGATCCCTCTGCCTCAGCCTCCCAAGTGCTGGGATTACAGGTGTGGGTCACCACACCCTGCAGTTTGGGAAGCTCTTCAAAATTACAAGTCTTTAGGCCTAATCATAGGTCTGAAACACACTTATTTTAAGAAGTGCTGCGGAGGAAAGGAAGCATTGTAAGGAGAGAGGGTCACTGGGCAGGAGCCAAGGGTGGAAGTTCTGTAAGGCAGTGCTCCTTCAGGGTTCTTTTTTTTTGAAGACAGGGTCTCACTATGCACTTCAGGCTGGTCTTGAGCTCACTTTGTAGCCTTGAACTCACAATGATCCTCCTGCCTTGGCCTCCCAAGTGCTGGGATTACCACACCTGACTCCTTCAGGGTTCTTAAAAGAGACCTTTTCAGGGCAAGGGAATAGCAAATACATTTCATGAGATGGGAACTAGATTAATGTTTAAGGAGTGGGAATAGGAAGAAAGCTTGTGAGCTGGAGCATAGCAGATATCAGAGAGAAAGAAGGCTGGTAATGGTGGGAGATGAGACTTAAAAGGGTATTAAAACCTAATAGGAATGGGTAGAGGTGGCATTATTGCAGGTGTGGTGGAAAGCAGTAGTGATGTGATCTGATATGCTTTGAAAATGCATTTGTGGGGAATGTGCTGTTGAAGAGTGGGAGTGAGAGACTGGCTCTTCTCCCTCCCTCCCTTCCCCTCCCCTTTGCTTCCTTCTGCCTTTCTCCTCTCTCTGCCTCTCTCCCTCTCTTCCCCTGGTGAGATCCTGTCTCAAAATATAGAAAAGGTCTGAGATGTAGCTCAACACAGAGGCCCTGGGTTCAATTCTTAGTACAGTTACCACCCAAAAAGGGGCATATCATCAACTGAGGTAGAGGAGTACTGAGAAACAGTAATAAATTCAAGTCACTTCAGACAGTGAGAAAGATGCTGGAGAACTGAAGGGTTAGGAAGCTGTGCTCAGTGTCCACTTGAGTTTCTTTAGCAGAAGGAAAATGGGGTCACTGTTGTATTCTTTTTACTCAGCCACCTTAGATACTTATTTAACTTGGAGTGTGAATTTCAGTATTCTAAAATGAAATGGTATCTGTTTGGGAGGCTCATTTTAAAAGTTAAATCCTAAGGAAATAACTTTGACATAATATTTGAGTAGGGCTTCACAAGTTACAATTCTATTCCAAAATGTTGGGCTTACATAGCAGTATTCTAATGGGTGAAATTTAAATAGCTCAATTTTAAGAGTTGAGAAATTCATTAATATTAAACTTGTTAGAAGAAATTGCTGATAAGGCTCTCAATAATCAAATTCATGCCATGAAAGTTTCTCAGGAAAACATGGGAATATGGCTAAAAAGGAATATTCTGTCACCTTTTTCCTTGAATTTCAGAGGCAAGTGCGAAAACCTGTGATGGTGTACAATGTGCCTTTGAGGAACTTGTTGAAAAGATCATTCAGACACCTGGACTGTGGGAAAGTGAGAATCAGAATAAAGGAGTCAAACTGTCACACATGGAAGAAAGCCACGGAGGAGGAGCCTGTGGTGGTTATTGTTCTGTGTTATAAACTCTGGGAAGTTCCACCTCTTGCATATTTGATGAGATAGTGACATCTTTCTGTATATAAACTCTCACTGCTATTTTAGGGACCTTGCAGTTTGCACATAATTGTTTTGTATCATGGCAGTAAATATTTGCGAGAAATCCCACTCATCGGCTTTCCCAGGTAAAATGGTATGGTAAGCATGCAGTTTGTAGTCTACAGTTTTTTTATGTAACATAAAATAGATGTACCTTTATGAGTACATTTGATTTTATGATTTACATTTATCATGTAATTTTTAAGACACCCATCTCTCCAGTACATGTTACTACAAAGTCTGCTTTGGGTCTCTCTTGCTTAAATACTCCTGTTAATTACTGACTTACTTGGGTATGTAGAATTCCTAGAACCATTGGGAGGTAAACAGATACCACCAAACCTGTCAGATTTCCTTTGAGGAGTAACAAAGACCATGGCTTCACCACTTTCCTAAGATGTCTGAGATTCTCTTTTACTACTAAGCAAAATCTCAGTACAGACTGTAGCTCAGGCCAATTCATAATTAAATTTCTATTTGTTCTGATGATGCTTCCAAAATAGTGTTGGTATATTAAAGAAGTTTGATATTACTTTTTAACTTATCTCATTGACTAGGTTGGTTCTTTGTTAGTTTCAGTCCTGTGATAAGTGCATTGGATTCATGTTCCTTTGCACAGTGTTTTTAGTTACATGGTGTTTGGCAGAATGGCAATAAGGTTTTTCCTCATTTTCGTTTCCGGACATGCATAGTATTGATTAAAACCCCTTTAGTACTTAACCACTTGTAAAACTTAACCTTTTTCATAAATGTTGGTTGTATTTGTCCAGGTACCTTCATTGTAACTTATGTAATGTTTATGAATATCTGTATCTTGCAGCTTTCGTAAATGGCTAGTTGATATTCAAAAACCTACTTCTGTGTTCTGGGGAGTGGGGAATAAAACACTAAATAACAATTTGAGAAAAGCATATTCCTTCCAGATTCTAACGTGGGAAAATACTGTTGCAGTGAAAATGTTGATAATTTACTGTAACAGGTAATCATTAGTTTCTCAAAACTAACTTGTACACACTAATAAATCTTTGCTACAGTATTGTTTTCTAACTTCTTGCTACTGTACATGTGTGTTTTTTCACTTCTGTTATTTAATGTACTTTGATCTCTGCTATTTTAAGTCTACTTGTAAGTAATTGATCTTTCAAAGCTGGTCACTATAATGCCCTTCAGTAAGATTCTGATATTAATTTCTTGGCACTTTATTCTCTGTGTAATTGGAAATGATACACATTCTTGTGGACCTTTGCAATATGTGTGTTAATGATTTTACTTTAAATTGGTTTCTTTATGAAATACACATCTTCACATATGAAAACCTCACATTGTACTTGGTTTACACTTGTTAGCCGACATTACATATGAGTAAAAGTTTTATCCATTGTGTATTAATTCTGCGTTGTTACTGAAAAGTAGCTGATTTGTGCTTACAATTTGCTCCTGTTGCATTAAACTTCAGATTTGTGTATTTATGTAGACTTGTTTTGACAAAACTTTTCTGTTACTTTCTGCTCCTTTGGTTATGTGGTAATCTTTCTGAACATGGAATTGTTCTCTTCATTTGGTACGATTTCAATACATACAGATCACTTGAATATAATTTTAAGAACTTTGGTTTATATTGTAAACTTTTATAGGTTTTGAATAAATATAGCTTGCTTTCCCTAGATGCATTTGTGCAGGGAAGTACTATACACTTTCCTGTTACTCTCATCAGCTGAGGAACATTTGAATATAATGTTACTCAAATTGTCTTACGTTGTGTGTCTTTCATTTTACTATTTTGTTGAAGCTTAAATTTTGTAGTGGAGGCTTTATAAGCAAGATAGTTGTAATATTTAAAATCAGGCACTATCTACATCATTGAGAGATTTTTTAATTGTTTCCAGAATTATTACAAGTAGTCATAAAGAGCCTTTTGCAAGTGCTACAAGTAGAACAATTAAAATACAGTATTTGAATATCAGTGTAGACCTAAACAAATAATTTTTCAGCTTATGAGTACTGGTTAGCATTTATTGAAAGCTTCCTTGGTGCTAGGTACCATTCTAAGTACTGAATTACCACACTAAACATGACAGTAACTTTCAGACATTGATACTTATGCTGCTTAAGGATAATGAAACAGGTATTTTAGGTGACTTCTCCAAGATGGTGTAACTAACCATTGATTTGAAGTCAAGGCATTTGCTGTTCTAAAGGTATACTCTTAATCATTGTTCACTGTTATACAGCTAGTTACTAGCTTTTTGTTTCAGCATAGTAAGAGTTCCCGTATTTATCATTCTCTTTTCTTATATGTAAGAGAAGTATTTCAGAGTTATTGATTATAGGATAAGTCTGATTGATGTAATCCTACTCCACAAGTGTTTTGATCTAAATGTTTGATGAAGTGTGTGGTCAGTTCTTTTGCTTTCTCAGAGAGGAAATAAAAACCCCTGACATGGTAAAGAGTCCGCAGTTAGGAGACTTACAACACCTAACCTCCCTAATTGGTTTGTTTTTGTTGTTTTTTTGTTTTTGTTTTTGTTTTGGTTTTTTGAGACGGTCTTGCTGTGTAGTTCAGGCTGTCCTCAAAGTAAAATATAACCCAGGTTGGCCTCAAACTTGCATTAGTCCTCCCGCCTCTGCCTCCCAAGTGCTGGGATTACAGTTGTGCACCACCACGCCTAATTGTTTTTGGACATGAAAGAAGAAAGTAAGTCTGAAAATAGTCTGCTTGCAGTTGCAATCTGGAGGGCATGTCTTCAAGTATTTTAATGCCGTGTACAGGTTCATATTTCATTGACATTTCTGGTTGATGTTGATTCATTGTAGTTTGGGTACTCAAGAAATACACATGATTCTCTACCAAGTGTGAGGATGGTCCTTTGCTCACAGGACAGTCTTTCTTTACACTGGAACTTAAAGTCACAGTATTTTTAAGCACAGCATATGTAATTGTTTTGTGTTTTTTACAAGTGACCTGGAGTAGCTGTCCTTTAGGTACTTGAGATTAGAGATCTCAGTATTCAAGTCTTACACTTCTAGTCTTTGTGGTCCATTTCACTAATAATACTTAGAGATCTTTTGTCCACTTATTTAGTTGGATAGCAGAATAAAAGCATTTAATCAGTTACCTGAAGGCACTTGATTAGTCCAGCTCCAACTCTGCCATGCATAGCCCACTATAAACTTTACCCCGGGTTTTGTCTAAAGTGTTGAGAGAACAGAATACATAGAATGAGACTAATTCAAAACTTTAAATGAGGAGTATGTCTTTTTTTTTTTTTTTTTTCATTTTAAATGGGAGTATCTGTCAGGTTGGAATATACAAAAGTATTCAACTTCTGCTACAGGGCTTTAAAACTACTGTTTTTGCTGTAAACCTGTTGTTTCATACTTAAGAATCAGTAATATTTCTGCTTACGGTATCGTTTGCTTAAATGATGCTTTGTTGAGGCTGTTAATACACACACTTTGAGCAGCAGTGAGTGCTTGTCGTCAGTCTTGCTTCCTTCCCGGTTCCTATGTATACAGGTTTTCTTTTAATCTAAGCAACAAACTATGTAGTTTTGTTTGCGTTTCTTTGATTACTAATGAAATTGAGCCCTTGTAATATTTTATTGGGCTTTTGTATTACTTTAATCCCTTGGTCATGTTTGTTGTGATTACCTAAACATGCATGTGCTTTGTGTGGCATTGTTTCACCCTCAGCGATCTACATCTGTCCAGTTACCTCGAGCAGTGTCCCCTCCCCCAAGAGTAAGTGGTCAGGGAAGGGCAGCTGATCCACATTGTGCCACTGAGATACGAGCAGGTATTTTCTGAGGCTTTTTTAGGTATGGAAAATCAGCTTGCACACAGTATCCTGGAGGAGGAGTATTTCTTGCTGCAGCTAATTTTTCTAATAAAAAGAAGTCAACCTGAGGTAGTACCAAGAAAAAAAAGAAGAGGTCTAAATTGGAGAACCCAGTGCAGTCTGGAATCTCTGGATCAAATCAGAACTGAAGTGAGATACTCTTCTGGATCTTCACTTATGTAAATCAACAAATTCATTTTTTGTGTTAGTGATTTTAATCGATTGGGGGGCAACTAAATATACAGTGTATGTGAGTATATGTGTTTTATTAACGTTTCAGTAGGATTATTTCCATATGTTTCTTTATGAATATATAGGAATTTGTGAGTTCGTATATGGTACTTCAAAGACTCCTCAATTTGTAGGGTCTGTTTAAATTTATCATTCAGTGACTCCCTCCGCCCTCCCTCCTGCCTGAAGTATTAGTGTCACAACCTGGCATGTGTACCCTTTTCATTGCCTTTATAGTTATATGCATACAGGTACATACACATATATATTTCATATATAGTTTAATTTGGTTCATATTTTCAAAATGTTTTAAAAAATAATATATGTTTGGATATTACTTTTCTTGTCTAACAATAGATTGTGAAACTCCCTCCAAGACCACTTACATACATGTAACATTTCTTTCAATAATACGTTGTTAATTTTCCATGGTAGGGGTCTACCAGTTTATTCAGCCATTTCTCCAGTAATTGACATTGTCTCAGTTCCATTTTCTTTATTGCTGCAGGTAGTACCATAGTAAGTGTCCTTGTACCATGTTAGATATCGTAAGTTCATAGCACTGTACCATAGTAACTAGATATGTAAGAGTTGGATCCATGGGTCTAGGGAAATGTGTGTATTTTTAGATTTTGAGCTGGGTGTGGTGGCACAGGCCTGGGAGGCTGAGAAGGGAGGCGAGAGGGTCACCCCAAATTCAAGAACAGCCTGAGCTACATGGTGAGGCCCTGTCATCAAAAAAAAATTTTTTTTTCTGGTAGCTTTCCAAAAGTTTGGAACAGTTTTAATTTTCACTAGCAATGTGATTTTTCCTATATTCCCTCACCAATTTTTTTTTTTTTTCTTTTGTACCAGTAATTGAACTCAGGACCTCGTGCTTGCCAGGCAGGCGCTTGTGCCACTGAGCTATATCCTCAGCCCCTCTCACCAATCTCAGGAGGCTTTCCTGTTTCAGTTTTTGCTGCTTTGATATTTATAATTTGTGAAGTATAACTTTCAGGTGTGTAGTGCATTTGGAGTTACTTTTTTTGAAGTGATTATTCATACCTTTGACAGTTTTTTGTGTGAATTATCAGTTATGTGAGCTCTTTGTATGGTACAGATACAAATCCATAAGTCTCTTACAAACATTTTTGTTCTACAGTTATTAAAAAAATTTATCCTCTTTTACTTAAAACTAAAAACATATATCTTCTGGATTCCCTAACACTTAAATTATTCATACAGGCTACTTAACCTCTTAAGTTTTTTTTTTTCCCCTTGGAATTTACTTTTGTGTCTAACACAAGGTAACAGCAAGCCTTGCCATTAGGATACATTGGGTATCATTTTGTACTCAAATTCTCTGTTTTTTAATAATTCATAATTTTCTTCACATAGGTCTTATACCTTTATTAAAATAATCAGATGATTTTTATTCAGATGATTTTTTTTATCATTGAATAGAATATGGGCTTTCTTACTTCATGAGTTCTCACTAATAAAAGCTGTTGACTTTTCTAGGTCTGTTTAGCCATTCATCAATTTCTTTAATTTTGTAGTTTGTTTTAAAGTAAGGTATCTTTATCTTCTAGGTAAAATACAAAAGTATAACATGTTTTTAAGTGTCTTTATATTTCGATAGAAGAAATTGTAGACCCTTATTCTATCATTTGAATGTTATTTTGAATTTGTTCTCTGACCAGCATTTAGGGGCCTCCCGTGTAACAGCTGCGCTTAGGCCTTGTTTGGGATGGAGGTGACTCAGATATGTAGCTCCTAGACCAGCTGGACCACAGATCCCAGCTCCCCTCAAGGACAGCTCTTTTTTTTTTCTTATTTCTTTTTTCTTTTTTTTTGGTATGGGGAATCGAACTCATGACCTTGTGCTTGACAGGCAGATGCTTATGCCTCTGAGCTATACCCCAGCCCTCCAGGACAACTCTTATTGGACTTTCATAGGCCAGTCTTCCTAGCATCTATTGTTTTCTGACTTATGTGAGAGTGAAAATTGGCCCAATGCGTTTTCTGTTGTTCTAACTTTATGGCTAGATTCATAAAGTTGTGATGGTGTCTCTGTGCTAGAACATGTAACTTTTAAAAGTGGACAGCTGTCTGTTGCAAGTTCTAGAAATCAATATAGCACAAAGGTTTAAGTGGCTTTTTAGAATCAGACTGGGATCATATTCCAGGCCAATTTACTATTTCATCGTCTTGAACCAATAGCTCAGTCTTAACGTGTTTGGGCTGCAGTTTCTTCATAGTGATGATGAGACAGTAATAGTCTCAGTAACATCTTAGGGTAGTTGCATTAACTGTGTGAGGAAAAGACATCGTGTCTAAGCTAAGCATTAGCTGTTTATTAGCATCCTTTGGCTTTTTTTCTTAACTAGGTTCAAAATTTTTCTGGAATAGCACATTCACTTGTGCAGTATTTTTCTGAGAGTATTCTGTGTATAAATTTTTTTTCTTTTGCAAGCAGTTTACGCATTTTAAAAATGTTAGAAGGGTGATTTTTGGCTATATTAGGTAACAGTGTAGAAAAATGAACTGGAACTAAATGGTAAGTGATGAGAGTAGCTAAATGCAAATGAAGTACTTGTTGAGAATACTGCAGCTTCCTGCCTTTGCAAAGACCTGGAGCAGCACAGCATCCCATGTGTCAGCACCCTAAAGGCCGCACATGGAACTAAATAATATAGG